TTTTAATGAGTCGAAGTTTCTACTTGTCGTAAGATTTTTTTATTAGCTAGCTTTAAGGGCTACTGGCCCATTTAGTTGTCAAGAACACAAAACCTTCTCGTAAGAAATCAATAAATATTTCCAATTAACGTAAATCATCAGTGGGTGCAAATTTTAGTCAATTTTTTTTTACTATGCGCGTTTAGCATAATAGGATTCTACGTTTAATTCTAAGCAAACTTGCCGAAGAAACCGTGGGTCTAAAATCAATTTGGAGTTTGTCAAAACTCGAAGAAAATGTTAAAATTTTCACAAAGTATTTCGCTGATGGAAGCTTTAAGAAAAATATGGGTGCAGAAATGGATTTCTCATACCAAAATACCACTTATAGCATGTCTTTATACAAAATTGGAGCACTTATTTACGACACTACAGCAAAATTCTAAGAAACCTATTTTCGCAATTGGGCAAACTGATTTTAGACCCATGGTTTGTTCGACAAATTTTCTTAGAATTGCACGTAGAATCCTTCTGTGCTATACGCGCATAGTCGAAAAAATCTCCCATACAAATTGACCCGCCCTAAATTACATACATATGTACTACCTTTGCAGATTTCTACAGGACATTAGCCCGTCCTGTTTCACTTGTCCTAAACCCGTAGACGTCGTCCCGGAAAAAAATCAAACATGCGCTGATTCATATTTACGCGCTTAGGTAACATAAGTTTGAAAGTGAACTGAACTTTCACTTCTCGCCGTAAATTTGTGTTTAGTTGATTGTTTAAATATATCAAAATGAAAATTATAGAAAAGAAAGAAGGTCCAGCTGGCTTGTACAATGCCTGATAACCTCGATCGAATGTGCTGCAGTACCCGTACTTACACCTGCTATACTTGCAGCTTTTTGTGCCATTTACAACTCGCCCATACAATTTCGCAGCCAAATGAACTCAGGTGTAACACTTTATGGTTCCAAAAAGCAGCAAAAAATAGTGAATAAAAACCACAACAACCGTTGTTACTAAGCTGCTCTAAAAATCTGCAACTTCATGGCCCGAAGAGATTCGATTACTCTATTATTGTAGCCACATATGTTTGTTTATATGTATGTACACAAGTGTGTACAAAAGCTTGGCTGCCTAAGAGTCTGCAGCGGTTTCAATTTTATTGGCAATGATGTAACCAGCCAATCAGACAGGTTTGGTTGGTCACCTCGATGCACTAGTCTTACCGGCAACGCCACGTGCAGCACTCGATGCTAACTCAGTCAGTGTGGTAGGCAGCAATTTTGATTTGTTTCCAGGCATTAGCCTTTGAAAAGCCTATACTCACTTTGGTCATATCAAAACGTGTAATTTGGCCACTAAATTTTCGGTTGCCACGGCCATACTCAACAACTGGACAAGCAGGTATTTCCTTCAAGACGAGGAGCACTTTGCGATGGTGATGTAGGACAACTGACGTTTTAACCAGGAAATTACTTGTTGATACTGGCTGAACTTTATTGCCTATTTTCTGCTCGTACATGCTCGTGTGTATTTACATATATTTATTCGCAATATAAAGTGATACCGACAATAAATAAACCGCCATGGCTGTATTAGTGTTGGGAAAGTGAATCATATCTCCGCTCAAAATTTGTTCGAATTGTCCTTTTTGCGACGTGTTTCCTAATAAGACAGGTAGGAATATCCTAAATAACCCTAAGATCAGAATGCCATCCTCTCTCCTGTCTTAAAATAAAAGAAAACTTGTAAAAAATAATGAAATCCTAACAGGTCTATTCTGCGCTGGTAACAAAATATTTTTGTAACCGGTAAATGAAGTTCATATCAATTACACTGGATCACAAGTTTTGGTTTTGTTTTTGTTCTCCAGACGCCACTATCCAATTCCTATGTAGAATTGCTCAGTGATTCCGAAAATCGAATCGAATTTTTATGGATACGTTTTCGAGATATTTGCAATTTACCTTTATTCATCTTAAAACAAAAAGTGGTTCCCCTTAATCACATATATCTTACAAACTAATTAAATAATCGTAACACAAAACACGGAAAACGAAAGGTAATGCAATTCCCCATAAAACGAATGAAAGCCTGTTTCTTAACAAACAAAACGGAGCTACCAATGAAGAAAATCGATTGATAAATAAGAAATCACTGAGTGGTCAAATGAAAGTGCGCAAGGATTTTTTTATGCGCATACTCAAATTTATTTTACAATAAATGCATGGTGTAGTGGAAAGCAGTGCGCGCTTCCACTCCGCAGCGCCTGGGTTCAAGCCCTGGTCAAAGCAACATCGCAAAAAAATGTAGAAAAAAGGTTTTTTCTTAACAGCGATCGCCCCTCGGCAGGCAATGGCAAACCCCCGAGTGTGTTTCTGCCATGAAAATAGCTTCTCATTAAAATACAATCGCCGTTCGGAGTCGGCGTAAAACTGTAGGTGCCTCCTCTTTGTGTGACAACATCAAGGCGCACGCCACAAATCGGAGGAAAAGCTCGGCCAATCACTAACATATGTGTAAGCGCCAATCTATTGTTATTATTATTATTATTATTAAATGCATGTGGTTTTTATAAACAACTAATTGATTGGCAACAAAATTAACAACCTTTTAAATTTAGTGCAAAATCTCTTGGCAAAAAAAAACATCCATATAATTTTTATACCCGAGCGCACTCGTGCACAAGGATATTATAACTTTGTTCACATAACGGTTGTTTGTAACAGCCAAAAAGAATCGAGATAGATATAGACAAATGTATACATAAATGATCAGAATGAAATGAGAAGTCGATTAAGCTATGTCTGTCTGTCTGTCCGTCCGTCCGTTCATCCGTGTACACGATAACTCGAGCAAGAATTGAGATATCTCAACGAAATTTGGTACGTAGATAAGCTTTTACCCAAGGTAGGCTGGTATTAAAAATGGGCGAAATCGAACCGTAACCACGCCCACATCCCATATAATGGTAGTTTTCTGAAATACGAAAACTGCGATATTTTAGTAACTACTGAAGCTTATTCACTGAAAATTGATATTTACAACGATTTTTAGACGTAAAATAAGAATATTAAAATTTTTTAAAAAATGGGCGTAGCCACGCCCACTTATGGCTGTACCAATTTCTTCCAAACTTGGCACAGTTGTTGGCCTTGGCACAACATACCAAATGGCTGAAACTGATAAAATCGGACAATGACCACGCCCACATCCCATATAACGGCAATT